CCCCCCCCCCCCCCCCCCCCCCCCTCCCACACCACACACCATCATGTGACAAGTCTCTCTTTATGCAGATCGGAGCCATTCCTGTACATTGACCCGTCAGCGGGTTAAATACAGGAATAGCTCCGAGTGTTTGAGTCCGAACTGAACGCTGTTCGCCAACGCTGTGACAATTTCCCATCTCTGTTGGTACTGTTTAACACTAGAAAAAGGTTCTGTCGATGAAAGTGAAATTTTAAGGTTCACACATCGACTTCTTGCTTCTTTCACTGCGTAAGACGAAACAGAAGTCACACATCACAACGACGTTAGTGATATCATTGTCCAGTGTGACGCGTGGCTGAAAGTTAAGCTTTAACTTATTAATAAAAAAACATTTTTATCCCCCAATTACAGGTCGGAACTATTCCTGTATTTAGCCGCTCGTCAGCTTTGTATGGAGACGCCATATTGATGCACCGTTTTGGTGCACCAATATGGCCGCCGGAAAACAACAAAAGACATCAGTCATCTGGAGTTCACTTTTTCTATAAAAGCTCTTTCTTTTCACTCGAAAACTAGCATACGTACGCATAAACATATCCTCTAACACTTGAAATGGTTATACCACTGAAAATCAAGAGGAGAGACTTTTTTTCAACGAGACAGCATTCCAATTTTGGTGTCACGCACTGTGAAAACTCGGAAGTTCAAATTGCTGTATTTTCGAAATGAAACATGCTACGGAAATGGACAGTTGTACAAAGACTTAATTTTTGTTTATCTTCAACCTAGTATATATAAGAATTCGTAAAACCTCGCTATTTTGACTTTACAGTTTGATGGCGTCACCGTGAAAACCACTCCTATAAAGTAAATGTGGGCATGAGCGCTTTTTGAACTCACCTTGTCCCGAAGGCAAAATTTCCTTTACTTTCTCGTAGACATCTTTGATTTGCTGCGAGTTTGTCACGTCCATCTGAAATGTTTTAAGCCTGTCGCTCGTCACCGATTTCAAACTCTGTTCCCCTTCCTTTGTCAGACAAGTCGCCAACACATGAACTCCCATCTTATCCAAACGAATGGCTGTTTCGTGGCCAAATCCAGTGTCGCAGCCCGTAATAAAAACATATTTGTTTCCTAAACCACTCACTTGCCTTTTGGAAAACAACCTGAAAATGATCAATGTCAAGATCACTGCTGCGAATGTGACCACGCCGGCGATGCGGAAGCTGAAGCTAGTTAAAAACGGCTCGATCATGTTTATAAAGGAGCGATTTTTTGTGTCTGTTGTGTCATGTACGTCAGTGCATTGTATGGGCCTTGGTCTGCGTAGCCTGCGAGAGCATCAGGTTTTTTCCGCTCAAGTTTCTGGTGGAACTCGAAACTTGAGTCGAAAAAACCGGATGCTCTCGCATTTTTGGTTATGGTCTGTCACGCAAAGGACACGCAAGGCAGTGCCGTCTAACGACGCACAAGGGACCTGGGGCCCCAAAGAGCTTTCAGGGCCATTGAATTGCCCGGGCCTTAGTATAAAAATTTAGTTTCAGAGTTCTTTTCATCCCACACAAGACTGGAGATTACTTCAGGTAAAACAAAGCAATCGATTATACTCTACTGTATCATTTTCAAAACTTATAAAACTCCCTTCTAAAATGGAAAACAAAACAGCTTAACGGGCCCGGTAATTACCGGGAGCTTCGAGAAACGGGCCCCTGGAGCCTAAACGGTGGCGAAGCCTGGGAGAATCTACAAGACAGTGAAGGCAAAGTGCGGCGATTTTGTCTCGGTTTTGGAGGAAACTATGACAATTAATCCCGATTGGGAATGGGAAAAGAATCATTTGACCTCGCCAGTTACGAGTGTTGCGTTTTTAGGTGCAGATTTGATTATTTCAGGTAAGAAAAAAACAAATTGACTTTAGATCTCTTTCACGTGTTATTGGATAGGAACAATTCAGTGTTTAACACTGAAAAATTGACAACCAGTTTGGGCCAGATGAGTACCGTTTAAGCTTACTGTCAGGTTAACCTAACCAGCAGTAAAAGCTATAGTGGGACTCTCTGTTGCTCCGCTGAATATAAAGAAAGTAATACCAGGGCCTGAACAATAGGAGGCCTTTTTATAGTTGTGGGCTTGGTGTCCTAGCCTTAACTTTGAGTGAACGTGAGGCTGAGGTTGACCTTGTTTCGATATACAAACCCTTCTCCCATTTTTAATGTAAATTTTGCTTAAAAAATATTAGCCAGTAGAAGAACAACATGATTTACATAATAAATCAGGAAGAGTTGTATCAAGGGTGTCCTCTGTTCCCCTCATCTCACACTATCTTTTTACTTAGGCAGTTTTATCCAAACAAGTTTATTCAGTTATCTGCATCTCGCAATGTTTACATGTTTAGTTTTGTTTCATGAACTTTGAAGGACTGGAATAACCTAAGCAATGATATTATTGAGGTTATTACTCTAAATGCCTTTAAGCGTGCGATCTTAGAGATTGATTTGGACCTACAATAGTCCTAGTTGTATGTCATAACAGGTGATCCTTTCCTGACATATCTATTTAAGCGGAATTATTCATATTTATTGTGTAATTTATATATTATGACTATAGTGGGACCAATTCACATGTATGGGAAAACCATTGTGAATTAAAGCTATAGATGTAGATGTAGGGATTAAAACAATGTCAACTCCAGCCTCGTTTCGACCTGTATCTGTTAAATGGACTATTGATGAAAATCGATGATCAAATCAGAGGGGGGGTACTCAAGGAAAGTTTGGGTAGGGGTGTACCCCCAAGGCCTTTAATCCCTGTCCCAGCTTTTTAAAACAAAAATATTGTTCATTTTGCTAGCCTGTTTAGGACAAATATAGACCTTATTTTATGACCCTGATTTGTTTAGTTTTGCATGCAGAATTGAGTAATTTTTCAAACTAACATCATGCAGTTAGACATTTTAGAAAAAATGTTGGCCTCTTATCGCCAACATTCATTCTTGCAAAGGCTTCCAGTTAAAAAGACACCCTGTTCAAGATGCTAATATAAGTAAAGAAATTGTATACCCTGTTTAAAATTCAAGACCTTGAAAACATACCCTGTTTAGTGGCACTTGTTTACACCAAATAAGACAGTGCCCAGATCAGATCTATCAATTGAAAGCAATCCATTAATTTCTGTGAATTGGCATAGATTGGCAGAAAAACTTCCACATTCTACCATAACATTATTTCTTTACAGGAAATGGACCATTCCTTTATATACACTCAGTGACAAAAGGAATTTTGTTGATTAATGAATGCCTTTTGACAAGATCAAGGATACATGGAATAAGAGGTATAAACTACATTCTCTGGAGAATTGCTTATTGTCCTTTTCATTAAAATACTAGTCAGAAATATTTCTTGAAACTCTGGCAAGCTTGGTCTACATGTAGCTTTTAATTTAAGCTCTGTCAGCTGGGTTAAGAACTGGTTGGGTGACCAGGCGTGGATGTCCTGCCATGAGGGCTCCTACTTCTTTCTTTCTTTCTTGTCTCCTTTTTTTGCTTCATTGTCATTTTTTTATTTTTACATGTGTATTACAAAGCATTTTGTTGGTCACAAAAATGGAAAAAAACCCAGCAAGTTGGCCTGCAAATTCAACTCTGGATCAATGTACAGAGCTGAAACAAGTCTTTGATCCATTGGCGGGGAAGTGCCAAGTTCATTGTGGTTTTGCATCAGTGTAACATGAATTCAAAGAAACATTCAAGTTTTTGATGGTAAAAAGCCAAACTGAAATGAATTTCTGATGCACAAAACTTGCAACGGAAGCAAACGTGTCTGCTAAGTGAGAGACACTCCTGGAAGATGTTCTCTGATCTCAATTTTCACCCTTATTTTGAAGCTAATGGTCCAAATTGCTTCAAGGTTCTCTGGTAAATCTTCGTTTCTACTGCCAAAATCTATTGCAAAAAGCATTTTTTTGAATGCCAAAATAGTCACAAAAACAGCGGGTCAAGTTTGATTCTTGATGATATCATTCCAGACACCAACAGATATACAGTCGACTCTCTCTTAACTGACACCTCTATAAGACGGACACCTCCCTAAAACAGACACCTAGAGTTGGTCCCTGCCTTTCTTTACTCCCTTCATTTGACTCTCTATAAGATGGACATCTCTCTAAGACGGACACTTACTGCCGGTCCCAAAGGTGTCCATCTTAGAGGGAGTTGACTGTAGTACATAGAAATATATAAGGGCCACCCATGTTTGCAGGCCACTTCAATCCAAGCGTGTTCCTCATGCTGCACACTACAAATTTATAAACCTAGACCTTGTGTGAATTATATATTAGTTCAACCAAGTAAAGTACAAAGGTTGATTATTTATTTTGTTAAATGTGAAATATTTTGTCAGACAGTTTTCATATTCATGCCATCAAATTTATTTCATCCTAAATTTGTTTGGTTTATCCTCTCTTTTGCATAGTTGAACAGAAGTACGATAAGTTGGTGATGATTTTTGGACAAAAGGCTATCAGAGTTGTCAGTTTGCAAGAGAGTGCCACTCAGTCTGGTAGCTATAGGTAAGTTGAGCTCTAGAGATTTTTTTCAAATCCGGTGATGTCATAAGTGGTACAAGGGACATGGGCCAGTATGGTTGGGACAGGTGTGAGTGGGTAAATGAAATGGTCGCAAATCCTCTTCAGGACATGGCGGCATTCACAGCTCAGTACAGAATGTGATTCTCCCAAGTTCAATCATGGTGTATCTAAGCCTCTCGCTGATGCACCTTCCCATCTCCTTCTTGACCTAGTTTCCTCCCAACTCTGGTGCTCAACAACCATCCTTCCATATCTCAAGCTCATTTCTAATGGAGGCATTTGTCATTTTCCAAGTCCACAGCACACACAAAATTTCCCTGTAGTATTTATGCTTGAAGGCATGATGCACTTCACATCACAATGTTTGATTGCCACAACTTGCATCATTAACTCAGGTGTGAATTATAGGTAAATGAAATGGTCTTTGGTAGGTGCGCTAACAACAACAACAACAACAACATTTATTTTCTTCGGTTAAAGTATTTCATGAAGTAGTAGCCTGCGTAGCAAGCGTTTCCAATCGAGTTACTGCGCGAAAGTTAGAGCGGGAGCAAAAAAAAAAGGTGGGAGGGGGAGGGGAGAAGAGGAAACGCTTGCCTGCAAACCCTACGATTCTGGAAAACGCCCCTTGATATTTCACGGTTCGGTTGATTTGTAAATTGACAGCTCGTCAAAATAGAAGTATTACCCCTGGATTACCACATTTGTAAAATTACTTTGATCTCCAATAGAACACGTTCCAGGCGATTGCAAAAACTGTAATAAAAAAGTTTTACGATAAAAGAAGGTTAAAACTCTGAGCGATTGCTGCGGAATTTCTTGTTTTTTGTGTGGCTTTATCTCGTCTGAAACCTTGTCAAAACGTCAAGAATGATTTGTCCGGAACAATTCACTCCGCCGGCTATAAAGTTTGCAGAGCAGCTGCTCTTCAGCCCGTGTCGAAACGTTCTCTACAATACATGCCGCTAAATTTCCAATAAACAAAAATAATCTTTTCATTTCAAAAAGCTGATAAATCACTTGTCCAAGGCGGCTCTAGTTAGTGTCGAGTACCGATGTTCTGATTTACGTTGATGTTATCTCCAACAAACAGTCCATTTTTTCCATTCAGATCTGCACGCCTTCATTCCCAATAAATTGGCCTTCCCTAGTCTCCACTGCTCGATCTCCAATTATACTTTGAAGACTTTGATCTTATAAACCTTCGCACAAACACGGTTCAAATAAACATCAGTCCAAAGCAGTTGTAATCTGCGACCACAAATCATATGAAACCAGATCTGTGACGCACGTAAACAAAGCATACCTGGTTTGATTGATGTAAGCTCACGATTCATTAGTTGTGATGGTCGTGGCGCGGTTAGTCTTCGACGCAAGCACCCGCTTGCGTCAAAAAGTTTTAGCACCCCAAACGCCCGTTCGCCAAGGAAGTATCCCCTCCCCCTCCCCCGTCATTACTTTTTTTTTTTTGCTCTCGTCCCAACTTTCTCGACGAACTCACAAGGAAACGCTTGCTACGCAGGCTAATGAAGTAGTGACCCCAAAGTGGTGGTAAAATTTTCTGTGGTTCAAACACATGAAATTCATATATTCATCTTTTCATCTTCATTTTTCCCAGGTACATTACGAACCAATTTATTGACCAATTCCCGGCCCACCTACACTGGGATCACAGAGGTCAGGGCCAAATCCCAGACTTTTTTTTTACAACTTACAGCATGAGTTGCATCAGTGACAGGGCTGTCACTAAAGGCCGGGACCTGGGATCTACCCGGGCAACTACAAGCATAAGCTCTGGCTATTCTTGTAGAAAACAAAAGGAAATAATATCCAAAACACTTCCTAGCTGTTAAACTCCCCGCCTACTACAGTAATTTCATATTTTCAGCTACTTGAAATTTTAGTGACAGCCCTGTTCCGGTGATCTTCTTTACATTTTAAAGTAATACTGAAAAACACTTTTTGTCTTATCTCAGTGTCAAGGCTGCAACAGATATTCAAACATTTCCTGATCTAATATGGGATGCTCATTGGCTCTACAGTGAAGAAGACTTGCCAAAATACATTGCTATAGCAACAGCTCACAATGCTGTGTGGCGTTGGGACTGGGAAAGCAATACAAAGCAGTTGATTGCTGAGTGTGAGGAGCCCTGTATACTGTATCTTTGTCTACCAAAAATGAATTAAGTATCTAAATAAAGATATGACCATCACAGTGCTTATTGCAATGTAAGCAATATATTGCAAAAATTCAATATTGCATGAATATTTGCAATTAATTAACACTGCGATGGTCATATCTTCATTTAGATTTGTATGAATGAATGACACTTTATTTCAATAGGGTGCATAATTACATTCACACGATGAAACTTAAATACAACTATCACTGAAATACTAAAATCCTTAAATACTAAATACTTAAGTACCAAGATATTTCCACAATTCACATCATCTTCATTCTACATTTTATTCCTTTCATTGGTTAAAATGAACTCAACAAATTGGCCTGTGCCTAATGTGTTGGTCTTCATGGCTGAGTTGGTAGAGCACTGTGCAGCACTAATGCACTTTCTGAGGCCATGGGTTTGAATCTCATTGAGTCCCTGAGTACACCGTGTGCCCTTTACCAATATTAGAAGTAGGAGAGATGTCCTTAATTTTCACATCCAGTACTCATAATAATATTGAAAATATGAATCCATCAAGACAGTTTTCTTTAACAGACGTTTTTGCTGCAAAGATACTCTGCTCAGTTCTTTGGATCTCATTTGGATGACTTATTTCTTGCTTCTGGAACGGTATTTAATCAAATTCTTCTTTGGAAAGTACATGGTAAAAAAGATGAACAGAACAAGACTCTTGTGCTCCATAGACTCACAGGACATGAGGGTGTCATATTTTCAATAAATTTTAACAAAGCAGGAACTCTTCTTAGCTCTGTTTCAGATGACAGGAGCATTCGCCTGTGGAAGATTCCAAATTTAAAGTCTTTAGAGACAAATGGCTGTGTGGAGCCATTTCTTGTAGTTTATGGGCATACAGCAAGAGTCTGGGATGCCAAGTTGTTAGAGACATGTTTTGTCAGTATTGGTGAGGACTTAGTCTGCAATGTGTGGAGCTATGATGGAAACATTGTGAAAACACACAGGGGACATACAGGTACGTTGTGTCATTTTAAGGGCACCACCCTGACCCGTGACTAATTGGAAGAATGTAGAAGGGGGTGAGGGAAATGTTCTCCAGGACCAGTGCCATCTAAATGTACTTACTTAGATTGTTGTTCTACTTAAAACCATTTTTGACAACCCAAATCCTGGGTACCATATGCCCTGGAGACCATTTTACATAATTGCTGTTGCCACATAATTCACACTCATGTCCAGATGTTTAAGCGGAAAACTGTATGTAATAGAGTCAAAACTCCAGAGGCACCCAACAACTGCTTTCTGTAAAATATCTGTTCGGAGAAGCAAATATTGCCTAGAATATCCTATCACTTGAAGATGGCTAAATATTTCTAGATGATTCATGTACATTTTTGAAGCTTATCTTATAAATTCTTACGACTTTCTGAGGTTTAATTTTTCACATTTCACTGCCCAGGTTAGGCTATTTTTCATACAAAAAGGAAACCTAAAATTTTGGGATTCAAAACTGTGATTGAGAGATGAATCCAAAAAATTCTCCCTTTCATAATACATTAAATTGCATCTAAAATTTTCAGGAAAATAATACTAAAGCCCTTGTAATTTTAAAAATACTCAAGTCCCCCTAGGATGACCGAACAGGTACAAATTTTGTAGCACCGCTTAGAATGCATTTCTAGAGATCTAAAAAGTACTCAGGATAGCCTAAAAAGTGTTTTCAATGTTTTTAAGAGGAAACCGTTTTTGGGTGCCCCTGAAGCTTCCTGAAGCAAATTGGAGTTAACTGTTGTAAGCAGAGGTCTGTATCAAACAGGGTTTTGACAAGGCAGCTGTAAGTAGAGCTTATAAAGGTATCCAATAAAAAAGCATGGACTGTACCAATAAAATAGTGAATGTCAATCCAACGGTCTGAAAGAACAAGTGTGATAACAAAACTTCATAACAGAGCAGCATCTTTAGGGTGCATTTCTCTTTAAACGCACATGAGTGAGTTTTGCCATCTTGTTGTTGTGGACGTTAAAATAATAAATCTTCTCCCATCACTATACCCAGGTATTTAACTACATGTATGCTTATGACAGGTCGCAATATTTGGAGTCTTGCTGTCAATCAAAGTGAAGATCTCATTGTCACTGGTGGTGGAGATGGGAGCATTCGGCTGTGGCCATTATCTAGCTCTGATCAGTATAGCAGGACTACATCAACAGAGACATGTTTGCCATCGGACAACACAGCCTCTAGATCACAGAAAACTAATAAAAAGGATTACCCAAGATATGTCAGTTTACTTGACCTATCCAACTTGCTAGTGATGACAAATGAAGGGTAAGTAACAGTGTTGTGCCCTCCTGATGTGGGGGAGACACTCCCTTATTTGGCCTTAATGGGTATGTGCCACCCAACAAGGCATGATTTTGATTGTTAAGTCTTGTACAAGATATATGATTTGCTTGTCAGCTTCTTGAAGGGGCCATTTGTTGAAGCTGGGTAAGAGCATTGGGTTGTAATTTGCATAAATCTCACCCACACTAAGATCATTGACGTAACAAAAACCACCAAATAACGAACTTTAGTTAAAAGAGGAGTTAAGGTATGCATTGTCTGCCGGGACAAAAGTAGTGGCCATTGTAGGTTGGTGGCTTTTAGCTGAGACTGGGTGCATGGAATTATCTGCACAGAGGTTCAACAAAAAAACTATTTCTTGTAAGTGTCTGGTTTATTCTATTAACATGCATGTCCATTTGTTTTTGCTCAGGTGTTTGTATAAGTATAGCTGGTCAAAGAAAGATAATCAGATTGGTAAAGGAGATGATTCCCATACTTGTTCAAACACAGAGAGCATAACCACAAAGGATCAGTGGAAATTGTTATTGAAAGATCCAAACTATTCCTCGTATAGTGTTCTAGCCTTGTCTCCCAGTCGTAAGGTCATTGCATTTGGAAATTTACAGGGAAATATTAAACTTCAAGATACAGGTGAATATATAGCATTTTCTTGTTTTAATGTTGTCCAATTAAAAGTAACCAAGTAGCTTATTTGTAGCTTACTGAGAGGTTTTAAAAGAAACAGTTAGAAAAGGAGGAGACTTTGATGTGACTTTGATGATGAATGTGTTTTGTTTTGTTTTTTTTTATATGGCTGAATCCGTGAGTAGGCATTATAAAGTGAATCCTGTGTTCTGATTGGCTATGCAAGTGGGCAAGATAGGCACATCTTGCCTACTTGGGATTTCCTGCTCCGGTCCCACTAGTAAAAGTTCTCTTTTTTGCCTTATAATTAATTCTTTATTGACAAGCTTGTTTGGTCAATAAGGGTGGATATTGGCCTCATTCATTTTTCCTTTTATTGACCTTGACTTTGTCTAGGTCCACACAAATGCAAAATAGAACTTGGTGTATATCCAACCATCATAAAAAATTCAAAGTCTTAAAAAACAAGACTCAAATTTGCATTGATTTTTTGATTGTTGATTATCATCATCATCATCATCATCATCATCATCATCATCATCATCATTATTATTATTAAATAAACTTTGCACCCTCCCTACAGATTTCAATCATCCCTGTATGGAACTCACTGCTTACTCAGGCAAGGTTCATAATCTTCTCTGGAGCAGTCAGAATTCTGGCCAGTACCTCTTTTCCTGTGGGCCAGAAGGACAAATGACTTGGTGGAATATTAAACATGTTCACAGTGTTCCTGTTTTCATTGTTTCTCCTCTTCGATCGTTTATCTTACCACCTTCCAAGCAACGCTGGGTCACAGCCATTGAAATATTCCCAAATCCTTCAACAAAACGAACCTCTGACAATTTAAATTGGACAGCAGAGTCTATGTTATTAGTATGTGGGGACAGAAAAGGTTCGCTTCATCTGTTTGATCCTAGATGCTCCACTTCTTCTGAAAAGGTACTTGTCAAGATAATGTTTACTGAAACTTTGTTTGACAAAATTTGTTGTTATAAAAATTTCCCATTTTTGTGAAAACTGCTAGACCGCTACGTTAATGCTAGAGCTTTGTAAGTCTGTAAAATGTCTGTGCCATTTTAGTTTTTGAAAAAGCCAGATTTAAACCGGCTTCTTGAGAAAAGTTCATTTTACCGGTATTAACAACTAGTATTATATGGTGCACCGAATTATCTGAATTGTGGAGGCAGAAGGAAGGGGATTGGGGAAGGTAACAAATTATGTATAGTGCTAGAAAGAGCTGTTTTGCTTATGTAAATTCGGTTTCGGTTTCCGAATTTGGATAATTTGGTGCATCCTATACTACTATGGACCAGTTCATTCAACGTTACTAGGCAGGGCACTGGGCAGTATAACAGAATGTAGGCCAGCAGCTAATAGACAGGACGTTAAATTTTTCCTTTTGTTTGTTTTTAAGCCAATTGCTCCATCGCATTCTCTTCCTCTTATTCATGGTAAAGCAGGCGTTAGTCATCTTAGTCTCCATAACAGCACCATCTACTCATCGGGCAGAGACGGCGTTTACAGGCAACTAAGAGTGCATAACAACAAACTGGAGGTTATTGACACTAAAAAGGTAGAAAAATTTGTAATTCTTACACAATAATTTATGCTCTTTGTGTCTTTCTGAACGTATGACCTCGTGTTTTCGTAAGCAGCTTAGTGATGCCCAATGTAAGGGAGTCAAAGATTCTGCATCCCACTCCGTGTATTCCGGATTCAAGTATTTGTTAGTAAAATTTGGATTCTGGATTCAAAACGTTAGTGGGATTCCGGATTCCACAAGCAAAATTTTCCAGGATTCCTGAATGTGGATTCCCTTACGTGGGGCGGTTAATGCATCATTCAATAATACATTTAAAAAACTGACTAGTTAAAAACGGCTTAAAATTTCGCCTCCTCGAAAAAGGTGATTTTTTTCATTACAAATCTAGCGCGAATGAAAACACGTGTTAAAGTTCACTTGAATGCAGTGTAAAACCTGTCTGTCAGTTTTCTCTTACTGGGGCAGTTTCATTTTGTTTTATCTATGTTAGGTGTTTAAAGGTTTTGACTGGCTGGAGCGACTGATATTCATGGCAAATGGACAACTTCTTATAGCGGGGTTCCATGCTGTAAGTCTGAATTAAAACTGTCTTTTTTAGCCAATGCATCAAAGAAACTGCTTTATAAAAACGTTGTATTTTATTTCTTCTTTTTTTGTCTCTCTGTGCAGGCGTATTTCGTTTTGTTGAGCGTAGAATGTAATGAGATACTGTGGAGAGTCAAGTGCGGTGGGGCTCATAGAGTCTGGGACCTAGCCCTGAAAGAGTCGGTAAGTAACCGCACGTTACCATGGAAGCAAAATTTCTGGATCTCAACAATAGGAAGCTTAAGCAACGGCGACGGCGACGGCGACGGCGACGGCGACGGCAACGAGAACGGCAAAAAAGGAAAAAGGTTAATAAGCAAAACAACTTTGCACGTTCATCACGTATTTTTTGTACATTTCTTTGCCGTCGTTGCAAGAGTGCGACATGAACTTTTCACGCGCCCGCTTTACGGAGTTGGTGAACACAACGCAAAAATTTCCTTTTTCTTTTTCTAAACTTAGATACAGTCCTTTCGGATTCAACCACAGAAAATTTCGCCAAATTTGATATATTAAATGGAACTGAATAAGGTTAATGAAATCTGAAACAGTGCGGATCCACTTTTTAAGTGACGTTCTCGGTTTGTTGTCATCCAGAAATTTTGCTACTATGGCAAGGTGACATAAAGACTTGACTTCTCCTCTCTATCGACCATGAAATAACACTCTGTCCCTATTGTGTAATGGGTCAAGAATACGTCTATTAGTCTAAGGCAAAGTAGCATTAATTCAGTCACCGAGTCGCAAAGAAGAATCGGTCATCGGACTATACTCAAAGAAAACTAACCTTTTGTCGGACATGATGTCTGGACAAAGCAAATACCAAAACTGTCGTTTTGCAGGTGAACAAACACAATTCTATCTTAAGCGCATGTAAATTGTGGTTCCAACGAAATAACATTGTTACATTGCATATGTACAGTAATTACTGTACTAGAACACAGGGAGGCCCCTTAAAACTAGATTAAAACACTGCCGGAGCACACTTGCGTAGACTTTGCAAGAGAGAAACATGCCTGTGTGTGTGTGTGTGGGAGGGGGGGTGGGGAGGGGATTGGTTCAGAAAAGGTCTGCTTTAACCAGGCGAAGTAGTTTTAGTTATTTTTCGCCTTTCCTTATGTTACAGCAAATAACTTTCAAATTTTGGACTTGGCAAACTATCAAACTCCGTCGAAGTTTCGTTTAAATTACCTATCTATGGTGTTTTTAGGATGTTTCCATTTCTGGAGCGGTGTTGTCCTTTATCAAAGACTCGATGATTTACACGCATGAAATTGCTTTTCCAAGTGAAGTGAAGAAGGCAGTGTTAAAGGTAAGCTTTTTCAGTTTTATTTTGCTCACCCAGATTGTGAGGAAAAGTCGAGTACAGCGATGTTTGCTGTTGGTTCACTAACTTTTCATAGTATGCGTCGCCTAATTGCGTTCCGAGTTTAGGCCAGAACAGTAAGAAGACAACGGCTACGAAAGGTCACTTGAAAAAGTGAATTTGCGCTGGTTCAAACTTAATTGCCCTTATTCCATCTCGTTCAATTCGTCAAATGTTGGCAATTTTTTCTAGAGTTGAATTCTAAAAGACGGTACCGAAGTTCGGTGCAAAACTATGACGTGAAATTAGGTATTTTCACGTCGTAGTCGTGCACATCCTTGGAGACCCAGCAGGGGCGGTCAGCCGGGTCGGGAGAAAAGGCGCGCGATAAAAAATTGGGTTTTTAAACAGCGACGTTTTTTTTGCACTCTTGAGCCGTGATTTTGAACAAATTTTTGGGCAAATCGTCTCTATAAGAATTAAGATACTTGTTGGCAATGCAAATATGGATGCGTCAAGGCTTATTAAAAGAGAAAAAGACTCACTTCCAGTTGACATGCGTCGCTCAAAAACGTCGCTGCTTGAGCTCCCCATTCGCACCTGGACGATTTTACATTCGTGCGCCACGTTGCGGTGCTGTCCATATTCCTAGCACGAGGAACAGGCTATATATAATTCTTTGTAGCGTTCTCTCCATACGTCATCAGTTAACATATGACATCCATGGACAATTCCCTTATACCCTTATTCAAAGTGGAATTTGGAAATGATAGTGTTGTTGTCGCCGGAAAGTGAACGACTTACGTCTTATTTACCTGTACTGATGCAAATGTTTCTCATTTAGCCAGGATTTCATGGACGGGAAGCCACGTGCCTTCGTCATATAGACTCCTTTGTGACACGGAAAGGTATTTTGCCATGGATTTATATGATTAAAACTTTTGTTGTTGCAAGAGCGACTTATAGACAGCGTGGACTGTTGTTAAACAGCTCTCGTGTTTTCACCATGTTTAATGTCAAGTTTGTTAGTTGCTGTAATCATTTTAAAAGGCCGGTGAGATGCAGGAGTGTTGATGCTCTTTTTAAATCCACAACGGTACCGCATATTTTTAGCCAGAATCCGATGTTACAAATGTACGTCCACTGAAGATGTATCTTTGTCTTTACTTTACACTTGACAAGAAATTGATATTTCCAAAAGAATTGAAGTTTTAACCATTCCCTTACATTTTTTCTTAACTTGTTTGTTTTGTTTTGTTTTTACAGGAGAAATCTGTGACGTCTTGGCTACAGCTAGCGAAGATACCAACATCAAGCTAATTATCTGTATCCTCTTCAGTATTACAAGGGTAAAATGTTCTAAAACTCCTCATCTTTTATCCCAGACATGATTCGGGATAGATGATGATTTTTTCAATGCGGATTACTAGATAATATAAAACCTGTGATTGTCTTCTGTGATGTTAATTTATATCGTCTTAGCTGTCTGTTTTTCGATTTTTTTTGGTTATTGCTTCTCTTAACAATAGTTTACACATCAGCTAATCGCTCCTCTGGCTTGACCTCGCCATTTTTCACCGCCCATGGTCACATATCAGGTGTTAAAGCTTTAAGCGTAACAAAACGTCCTCTATCACAGTTTCAACCAAGCGCCAGCAAAGACAAGACCAGCAGTCTCCTCCTCTTCTCTGGCGGAGGTCGCGCGTCACTTAGATGCTGGCGTCTCAACCTGTCACTCATTGATGTTGACACCGAGGGTTGTCATAGTGATACCATAACATCTCCGATGGTTTTCTTGGGAGAATATTCGTTCTCCTTCAGTAATCATCGTCGCAGGCGGAGGAAACAAGACTTAGCGTCCTTGTCCGAGATAAGATTTATGTCTCTGACGACATTAAATGCGGTGGAGATTATCAATCAATCGTCAAGTCAAGACTTGATAGACAAGTCTCAAACATTGTACTTCGTAATGGCAGCTTGCTCAGATGGTTTCGTCAGGTGTGTAGTATTCCCTCTTTGCCTTTTACAAACCTAACAAAATTTGCAGCCATTTGAGTGGAAAAGGGCCAAAAGGCAAGTTTTTTGCGCCCGATAAGCTCGAAAATCACACCAGTGAAGTGAAAGGAAAGGAGAAAAAGAAAGAGCTAGTAGGAAGAAAGGAGACGAGAAAAAAGCAATGGTTGCACTCTTAGTTTTTATGTTGGCTTCTTTGGAGGCAGTTTTGGCCCAAAAAAACTGCTTGACGGAAGAAGTCTTTTTGGCGGTAACGTTTTAAAAAACCGGCTTGATATATGTTTAACTAAATGCGTCTCTGTTTCTTTCTTTTAGGGTTTTCGCCTTTTACGAACAGCAAAACAAGTTCTTCCTTCTGGCTCAGTCCCAGTACCTCAGACGCTGTGTTCTCACGGTCAACCACGTGATTGATTGTCTCAGTGGTGAAAGGCCGCTGGTCATGATGTTCGCGGGGGACACGGCTGGAAGGATTTCCTGCTGGGACATCACTACGTTACTGTTAAGCCATATAAGGGAATGCTGTACTCCAATCAACGAACAGGTCGAAACATTTGGGAATGTAACAGAAAGCGAAGCTAGCATTGAGTGTGACGTGGAAAATCTTGAAGTTGACAGGGGAAATGTTATTAATAAATCAAGTGAAAAGAACACATTTGAAGCTAGTGTTTCATCAGAAAATGGTGATAAAAGTCACACAACCTCGGAGAGCGTGACTTCATTTTCTAGCGAGGAACGCTTGACCACAGACAGTTTAAAAGCTGCAGAAAATGCCGAACAAAACGGAAATTTTTCTTCAGGTAAATGTAGTGAAGTTGTATTTAAAGAAGAGAATTTGGCCGATTTTGAAGCAGACGTAAACGCCTCATCTGAGATGGCTAATTGTGGCCGAGTAGAACAGCGAACCGAAAAGACAGACTCCAAGAACCTTGCTAACATCCAAACGTTGACTGGAGACGAAGTTTCAGAAACAGATAAGAAGGAAAATGCTGTTGTTAATGTTGCATTCGTGGTACCGCAAAATCAACCCTGCTCAACACAACTGCAGGATAATCCAGCACTTGACTCAGCGTTTAAGGAGCAAAGTGACTTTTCCTGCCTACCTCTGGTACAGACATTTCTTCCCCCTCCAACCCACGTGTTCAAATGTCACCAATCCGGGGTAAATGCACTCTCGCTCACAAATATCAATGGTAAGTTAATGTTATTGTGAGGATAGGTACAGTTCCTGCTCAGCTAACGGTCACCTCTCCACCAGGACCGGTGAAGGGCAATAGTGAGTTAAATTGCGGGAAACATATTTTAGTAGAGTCTAACCTTCATGTTCCATCCAAGACACCATGATTTTCCCAATAAAAGCCCTAAACGGTCACCTCTTGTAAACGACCGCAACCTCTTTTGGAGGTGATGGTTTTTTGGCGGATCCTCTTCTTGGAAGAGAACTCCTGTGGTTTGACTATGGTAACCGACTACTAAATCTTCGCATTTTGGGTGGTCTCTAACGGGACGTTCGACGGCTGTGTAAAATTTCGAAATAAGTTTTCAAGAAAAAGATATTTGTAAATTTAAATAAAGTTAATGTATAAAGTGCACCAAATATTAAATTCGAGAAAATCGTTTGTTATACTTATTAACGCACACTAGTCATCCAATGATCTTCCAGAACTTCCCACCGTGCTGGAAGTTTGAGTGTGACTATTGAACGGAAAGTGGATGGATCAGAAGAAAGACAAAGCCTCGTTCATTCCGTTATTTTGTTTTATTTCTAGGAGAGTATTTGCTGGTCAGTGGTGGAGATGACAGCGCACTGTATGCGGCACAATTCACTTTGAAACTGGACAGCAATGACGTCACCGAGGTTCACGTGATACGCGAGATAACTGAGTCTTCAGCTCATACGTCATCAGTAACAGGTAACAACACGTGCATGCCACGTGAGTCAACGTTAGCGCGTTATATTTCCTGGGGGATCTGGGTCGATCCATTTACGTGACAAAGTTGCTTTGACAAGTGAATTCAACTCGCTCCATATAAGGGAATCCAAGGCGGTCTTGGATTCCGGTTTCCAGGTACTGCATGACAGTCTTTGTCAACTGGAACTTGGACTCGGCATTCCAATCTTTAGTGAGATTCCGGATTTCTTGAGCTGTATTCCGGATTCCAAAGCCAGGATTCTGGATTTCTTAAGCAAAAGTCTCCCGAATTCCCTTACTTGGGGCGAATTCAAAATTTGCGGTTTAAAAAAGACAAATGTTTTAAGTAATGTTTGAGACGAGAAGGTGAAATAGCAGGGTACCGGAAAGGTATCACAATGTAGACAGTGAAAATGACAATTACTTTTTTGATTATCGTAAATTTCTTGGTTTGATTGAATGATTGAATTCTACCAATTTTTCCTTCCCACATGCGTGTAAATTAAATTAATTTCCCATTTTTCTGTCGCGTGTAGAACACATCTGATCAGTACTCAAATGGCAACTGGGTAGACGCGAAAGGTAAAACTGTCAAACAGTTTAAAGTATCCCAAGGCGGATTAAAGCGTTTCTTGTTTGCCTCCACTTTTAATCACTGGAAAACTCATTTAAACCAAGTGTAGCGGTATCAAAGAATCGTGTGTTTATGTTACAGGAGTAAAGACTTTGAGAAGTGGATTAATAATCTCGTCTTCTGTCGATCAAAGACTTGCTTTGTGGGAGTTGGCTAACGGAGATCAGGTATTTACCGATTTTCTTATCACGAGTTTAAGTTCTCGAGCAGTTTTATGGCATTTTTCTTTGCCTAAGCGGTATTAGCGGGAGTTTCGCGTGTTGAAAGCCAACACTCAGAGACCAACGCTCGGGGTAGACCGTAGTTGAGGAGAAAGTGCTGCCTTCAAGAATCAAGTGTAATGCCATCGACTGCAAACGGTTAGACGGCTAGACGTTTCGGATAAGGACGATAAAACGTACGCCCCGTCTGACAGCCCTTGCGTATATAAAATTATTTGGGACGTTCAAAAACCTAGGCACTGTTCGTAAAGAGTCGTAGAGATCGTTGTCCCCGGTGTGGTGATCTATCCGCTCTGACGGTATCGGCTCAGTGCTGAGCGAATGAGACCACAACATACACACTTTTAGAGGTCAGGTTATTTGCAGGTTACCGCAACCCTCACTCAAGAACCCAGGAACTCAGGGCAGGGAGAACTAACAACGAAGACCCCACCCAAAAAGTGAATTCGCGCTTTTTCAAACTTCATCACCCTTATTCCAAATCTTTTAATTTGCAAAATGTTGGCGATTTTTTTTTCAGGGGTTGAATTCTAAAGGACTGTAACTTAGTTCACAAAGAGAAAAAGAAAAAAATTGTCTTGTGTTCACGTCCTGTATTAACGTGAAATTCGGAAGTTTCTTGTGCAGTGACGGCAAAGAAATGTTACAAAAAAGCTTGATGCGCGTGCAAAATTGTTGTTTTGCCAATATAAACCTCAGACTCGTACCCATTCGCTATTTAAGTGTTTTTTGGGGTGAGAGAAGATTGGGGGATTAGGTTGAGGCGCGTGCGGGTCCTCATGGGAAGGGAAGACGGAAAAATAGCTAAGTATTGTGGTTGAATTTTATCCCTGGTGCAAAATGTTATTTTCCTTTGTTTTATACTCTCTGTCCCACTTTACCATATACAAAAATAAGGGATAAAAAGATTAAAAGCAAGGATAAGACTAAGCCTCAGCATATGGCATGTAAGTTATTCTGACCTTTTAGAGCCACTACTTTCCTCTCTCTGTATGACTCGTATGACTCGCATTGCCGTGTCAAGAGATTATTCAGTTATCATATATTTAGAGTGATATACTATAATCGAAAACCGTTCTCCTAGATTCATGCGTTGATTGTCGTTAGTTTTTCTCAACATATGTTCATATTGTGTTGTTTGTCTTTTTTGTTTATGTTCAATAACAGGTTTCGCCCCCACTATTTGCCTTCCGTCAACTCACTGTAGAGGTGGTGGACATTGCCGATGTCCAGGACTTGGAGGTCTGGGGCGAGAGGTATTCCAGAATATTCAGCCAACTTAGAATCACGTTTGGGGCCAACGGAATAAAATCCGATCCAAATTGAAAATTTCTCAAGTTAAGAAATGAACTGATAAATACTGTTAAAAATAATTCTTATGGATAAAACTGACATGAAACCTTGTGCTTTTCTTTCAATAAAATGGACAGAATGAACAGTAAACGACAGGTAAAGGGAAAAGTTGATGACGCGGTAGAAGTATGCCGCATAGAGAATTCTAAGGCCATGTCCACATGAATACGGACATTTTTGAAACGGCATATTTTTTATCTGGTTCGTGTGGACGGGG